GGTTTTGTGGTAATGGCTCTGCCCTACTATCCTGTCTACCTTATAATGTCGTCTTGTCTTCTTCAGGGCAGTACAATAAGGAAAGCTCCCCTCGCTAGGCGACTATACTTATCTATCCGGGACAGATGATTCCTGAGAGTGGACCCATTTCATTTTGCTATCTTACTTCCACTATTCATCGCTTCCGCCATTCCTGAGGCATATTGTTACAGTATTTTCCTCTCTCAAACTCTCTTGATGAGATTATGGATTTAGAAATCCGATCCTTCAGTCTTCTATGCGGGAATGTGGGTGATACCCGGCCGTAGGGGGGCGGAGCCTCTGCGGTCCTGAGGCTGCCTAGAGGGCGGTCCCGGGCGTGAGGGGGCGGGGCCTCGCGCTCCTGAGGAGGCGTGGGGGCGGTCCCGGAGCGTGAGGGGGCGGGGCCTCGCGCTCCTGAGGCGGCATGGGGGCGGTCCCGGAGCGTGAGGGGGCGGGGCTGAGTGCCCGGAGGTGAGTGCGCAGGCGCGCAGGGACCGCGGGGGTGTTGGCGCCGGAGTCAGGTGGGCGCCGCTGGGAAGCGACCCGAGAGGGCTGAGGTGAGTGTGCGTGTGGGGGTCTGTGCTCCCGCTCCCCCGTGGGGTCGTGAGGCTGCGTCGGGGGGTCCTGCGCCCCAGCCTGTGTGCGGCTGTGAGTCCGAGGCTGCGTGTGAGGGGAAGGGCCGTCACGGTGAGAAACCTGTGATGGCGTCGGTGTGCGGTGAGGAGAGGGTGTGCGTGTGTGTGTGAGAGACGGAGCCAGCCGTGGAGGGGGTCGGGGGGTGGGGTCCCCAGTCCGTGTAATTTCACTGTGGTCCGTGCTGTTCACCCGGGAGAGCGGTGCCCGCAGCCGGAGGGGCCGGGAGCGGGCCCCTGAGGAGGGCCCTGAGGATGCGTGTGCTCGGAGCGCGCATGCGCGGGACGCAGACAGGTACGGTCACCTGTTGCCTGGGCGACTGAGCGACCCGGCGTCCGAGCTTATGCCGGGGCCAGTGTGCGTGGTGCCGCCCGGGTGCGGGCCCGCCTGTGCCTGGAAGGGGGTCCCGGTGGGGAGGCGCCCCGGGCCCCGGTGATACCGAATTTTTGGACCGGAACCCGGATTGTCTGTCCGCCGGAATGCACGGACTCCCACGTGGGGAGGGGAAGGGTCCCGCCGAGTTCCCCTTCCCTGCGGCTTAGAAAGGCTGCAGACCCTGGTGCCTTGATGTCCCCTCTGATTGGTCCCTGTTCCCTTAGGCTGGTTCCTATAGTAACTGCTGGGCTCAAAGGGGGAAGCTCACATCCACATTGAGGTTCCACCTCCCCACCCCTTCCTTATCTTTCTCCTATTCCCTTTGGGCTTCCTTCTCTTTATTTTGTAAATATCGGCCTTTCTCGGCTACTCCCAGTTCCCTTGTCTCATGTAAATAATGCCTGTTGCCGCCTCCTTGTCTCAGGGAGATGTGGCTGCACCTGGCTTCCTTGTGTTATGGAGATGTACCTTCTCCCAGTCTGCAGCCCCGGGCTTTTCCATGGACCCGAATTCTAAAAAAAAAAAATCCCTAAGCCTGCCTGTGTTCCCCCCCCCAAATTCCTGCTTCCCTGGGGAAGGCAGCCCGCGTGCGGCTGTGCGAGACTTGCCTCCTGGGGGGCGGGGAAGTTAAGCCAGGTATCGGGGTGAGACCCCCCAGCATTGTGCTTGTTGAGCCCTGTGGGGGGCTAGGTGTCGGTTGTGATGCCCTGCAGAGGCGCGGAGTCAGGGGTGCCATGGTGATGCTGGGGGGCGCTCCTCCTCGAAGCCCAGGGTCCTACCTCCCAGTTGAGCAGCAGCAACCCAGTAGCCGAGCTGCCGCTGGTTGTCTGCCTTTGAAAGGAGGGTGGCCCCAGCCGGTGTGGCTCAGTGAATAGAGTGTTGGCCTATGGACTGCAGGGTCCCAGGTTCGATTCCCGCTCAAGGACACATGCCCGGGTTAGGGGCTTGATCCCCCAGTAAGGGGCGTGCAGGAGGCAGCTGAGCAATGATTCTCTCTCATCATGGATGTTTCTGTCTCTCTCTCCCTCCCCGTCCCTCCGTCTCTGAAATCAATAAAAATACATTTTTTAAAAAGCAGAAGAGAGGAGGGCAGGGTGCTCAGCGTGGCCTCTGGATCCTGTGGAGCTTGGACGCAGACTCTGGTTTAGTCACTCGCTGGTTGTGTGACTTTGGAAAAGGCCACTTACATCCACCACCCTCGGTTTCACACCCAAAATCAGAATGAAAACGCGAGCCCTAAGTGGACACTGGCCGTGCATGAATGACAGTCACTTTGTCAGTGACATCATAATGGGAAGGATACCCAGAGAGGTTCCGAATTTCCTCGCCTGGGTTCCGGGAGGACAGAAGCAGGGAGGCTTCCTGGGTGGAGGTGTCCCTTGGGAGCTCATGGAGGGGAGACCTGAGTGGGGCGGGGGGAGGAGGGATCCCCATAGCACGGGCTGGAGGCAGCTCTGTGTCTAGACCAGCGGTTCTCAACCTGTGGGTCGTGACCCCTTTGGCGGTCGAAGGACCCTTTCACAGGGGTCGCTTAAGCCCATCCTGCATATCAGATATTTACATGACGATTCATAGCAGCAGCAACATCACAGTTATGAAGTAGCAATAAAAATAATTTTATGGTTGGGGGTCACCACAATATGAGGATCTGTATTTAAAGAGCCAGAAGGTTGAGAACCACTGGTCTAGACCAATTCTCACTGTGTGTACTTTGGGCCAGATAATTGGGGGGCGGGGCCCTATGAATTGTAAGATGGCCCCTGGCCTCTACCCACCAGATGCCAGCAGCACACGCCCTGCCCCGGGGGTGAAAGCCCAATGTCCCCTGATGCTGCCAGGCGTCCCCCGGACGGACGTCAGCATCACCCCAGTTAAGAGTCACTGTGGACAGGACGGTGACGAGGGCAACTGATGGACAGTCCCAAGAGGGGAGGGAAAGGAGGAGAGGAGGGGCCAGAGGGGAGAGGCGCTGAGGGGTGACATCCCCAGATGCGAGGGCGGGGTGTCTCTAAGAGGCAGTCACTCATTCATCAGGCACATGTCCGCCATGGCCCGGTCGTGCAGGTCAACGGACAAGACAGACGGGGTGTGTTAGAAATGAGGCGAGCCCCCAAGTCAGGGGTCCTGGTGGAACACAAAACACTCAGAGCCAGGCAGCAAGTAAACATCTTTTTTTTTTTCCCCACTGTCAGCTATTTTATTTTATTTACTTTTAATTCCTTTATTGATTAAGGTATTACATGTGTGTCCTTATCCCCCCATTACACACACACACACTCATGCCCTCACACCCCCCCCCCCTTGTCTGTGTCCATTGGTTAGGCTTATATGCATGCATACAAGTCCTTTGGTTGCTCTCTCCTCCTTCCCCCCACCCTCCCCTGCCTTCCTTCCGAGGTTTGACCATCTGATTGATGCTTCTCTGTCTCTGGATCTGTTTTTGTTCATCAGTTTATGTTGTTCATTGTATTTCACAAATGAGTGGGATCGTGTGATAGTTTTCTTTCTCCGACTGGCTTATTTCACTTATCGTAATGCTCTCCATCCATGCTGTTGCAAATGGTAAGAATTCCTTCTCTTTTTTTTTTAAATATATTTTTATTGATTTCAGAGAGGAAAGGAGAGGAAGAGAGAGATAGAAACATCAGCGATGAGAGAAAATCACTGATCAACTGTCTCCTGCACGCCCCCCACTAGGGACCAAGCCCACAACCCAGGCATGTGCCCTTGACCAGAATCGAAACTGGGACCCTTCAGTCTGCAGGCCAACGCTCTATCCCACTGATTCCCAAAGTGGGCGCTACCGCCCCCTGGTGGGCGCTGCAGCGATCCAGGGGGGGCGGTGATGGCCACAGGTGCATTTGTTTTAACTTTTTTTGTATTGCCTTTCTATTCTGAGTTCAGTAAATAGTTTCATAATTTCAAACTTCAATGTTTCTAATTTACACCTTTCTTTACTATATTTTACAAAAAAGGTAGAAACATTAATACATATATTTTTCTGTTTAATTGCTATTAAAATTTAAAAAAAATTAATTTCCAGGGGGCGCTGAGTAATATTTTTTCTGGAAAGGGGGCGGTAGGCCAAATAAGTTTGGGAACCACTGCTCTATCCACTGAGCCAAACCGGCCACGGCAAGAGTTCCTACTTTTGTACAGCGGTGTAGTATTCCATTGTGTAGATGGACCACAGTTTTCTAATCCACTCACCTGCTGATGGGCACTTAGGCTGTTTCCAAATCTTAGCTATGGTGAATTGTGCTGAGGCAACATGTTTACTTCTACATAGAAGGGTGGGCACACATGGTCTGGAAGCTGCCCTCATCGAGCAGTGGGCTGCTTGGTTTATAATCCCTGACACAGGTGACCTGTCCTTTGCTTTTTTTCTTTTTTTTTTTTTAAATATATTTTATTGATTTTTTACAGAGAGGAAGGGAGAGAGACAGAGAGCCAGAAACATCGATGAGAGAAAAACATCGATCAGCTGCCTCCTGCACACCCCCCACTGGGGATGTGCCCGCAACCCAGGTACATGCTCTTGATAGGAATCAAACCTGGGACCTTTCAGTCCACAGGCTGACGCTCTATCCACTGAGCCAAACCAGTCAGGGCTGTCCTTTGCTCTTGATTGGAGCTCAGGTGCACAGTCTTTCCTGATTGGCTAATTCAAAGGGAGGGGTTGGCCTTTGCTGTGTTAATGTAAAAAAAAAACCATTGAAACCTGTAAAGAGTTTTTGTGAGTTTATTTGAGCCAAACTGTTGACATATACCGGGAAGCAGAACCTCAACGAATTGAGCTAATGCTCCGGAGAATGGCGGGGTTACATCTGTATTTATACATTGCAATCAAAGGAGGAACATAGGTGGGTTACATGAAATCCATTGGTGACAGATTAAGGAGGAGGGATAAAGCAAAGCAGGGAAACCCCTGGGGTTGGATAAAAAGTAAAATGATGGACACACACTTAGGTGGGTGCAGGAACAATTAACATGATGATGAAGGAATCTGTGGTATCTGTCCTGGGACCCAGCACAGCTGGTTGTGCCCCAGGGGCTCCAGATACAGGGAAGTCACAAGTTACCCAGACATTTCAAGGGTATGTTATCATAGATGCAAAAAGACAGATAGGCTCAGTTAAGGTAAAGGTTGACCTTGTCAGTGAAGATACTGGCCCAGGACGTAACTGCCCACCATCACTGCTTTAGTTAAAGTTTAATTTCAGACCATCCTTTGTGGTGGCTTTAGGTCTCCGAGTTTGCAAGACCGCCATGCAGGCCTCCCCTGAGCCTGTCAGGTCAGCATGTGGCCCCTTCCATCCACGGGTGTTTCAAGTTGGCGGCTGTCTAAACTGCTCTTTGACAGAAAAGATGACTTGTTTATTCCCACACCTGGAGCTTGCATTTAGCAAGGAGACCCGGGTTAAACCTGTAACAACAGGTGGCTCAGTGGCTGGGCGTCGACCTGTGACCCAGGAGATCGAGGTTCGATTCCCGGTCGGGGCACATGCCCAGGTGGTGGGCCCGCTCCCCAGTGTGGGGCCTGCAGGAGGCAGCCGATCCATGGTTCTCTCTCATCATGGATGTTTCTCTCTCTCCCTCTCCCTTCCTCTCTGAAATCTATAAAAATATACTTCAATAAATAAATAAACCTATAACAGGTGACAGTGAGTATTTTGAAAAGTAAAGTAGGGTCCGGCCAGTGTGGCTCAGTGGTTGAGCGTCCACCTGTGAACCAGGAGGTCGCGGTTCGATTCTGGTCGGGGCACGTGCCCGAGTGGTGGGCTCGGTCCCCATTGGGGGGCAGCCGATCAATGATTCCCTCTCATCGTTGGTGTTCCTAACTCTTCCTTCTTCTCTGGAATCAATAGACAATATTTTTAAAAAGAAAAGTGGAGTAGGTGAAGGGACTATGGGATGGCAGTGGGTGCTGTGCTCAGATTCAGCGCCCAGGCTTCCCGTGGGCATCCCGGTCCCTCCAAAGTGGGAATGGCCACCAGCAGTGGCTGCAGCCCTTGAGCCGAAGTCCAGGCTTCCACAGAGGGGGAGGTCCCATCTCCGGCCCCACCTGGAGGCCCAGAGACTCAGGCCGGGGTTCTGGACCGGGTCTCCGCGTGAGCGTCACCTTGGGAAGCTTTAAAAAAAAATTAAAAAGAGGCCCAGATTCAGTCCTCAGAGACTCTGTTCTGATGGGCATGGCCTGGGGCACAGCCGTCACCAGTCATTAAGCAGCTCCCAAGGGATTCTGGGGCACAAACGGGCTCTGCCGGGGCATCTGACAGTGAATGAAATTAATCTGCTGGAGGGTGCAGGGATGAGTGGCCGGTGCTTTCAGGATCCGGATCAGCAAAGGCAGCCTGACCCTGCGCCTCCCCACGGCGGGGACATCCCCAGCCCCATCCCAGGCGGGGCACAGGTGGGGAAAGCTCTCCCATCTAAGCGTGCAGTGTCCAGCGTTCTGTCGTAGCCCAGCGTTCTGTCTAGCGGGACTCGGGTCTGTAGAGAAATATCTGTGCATGTCACTGGCCTCTGGGCCGGCATCAGGGAGGGGCTGGCCTTCGAATGTTTGCTGGGTCCCGGCTGCTAGGAAGCCAGAGGCTGTCTGCGCGAAGGGACGGGGAATGACCGCGGGCCCGGAGCAAGCTCAGGCCCATGCCTAGCAGTCGCGTCGAACCAGGCTTCCTTCACCCCATCGCGCAGATGAGCAAACTGAGGCCGAGTCGCTGCCCCACAGCGGGCCGTTGGCGGGGGCGAGCTTCGCACCAGCATCCCCTGCGTCAGGCTGCTGCTCTCTCCTCCCCAGCCCTGCTGAGGTCCTCGGAGAACATCGCCTTGTGGACAAGAACGTGCTTCTCCGGCGCGGGGTGCATGGCCATGAGCAACCACAGGACGGCACTGCCCGGAGGAACCCATTCCACCTGAGCAGCGCAGGGCGAGCAGGCCATGTACTCATCTGGTGAGCGACTTCAAGTGCGATTCTTTTCTCTCTTTACGTTCACATGAATCAGATTTGTCATGACACAGAACACGAAAGTCCACACGAAACAGAAACCACCAGCGAGAGTTTTCCTGCTGTGAGGCAGCCACGGAGCTGTTGGGGGATGTTTGTCACAAGGGTGCGGCCTCCCGGCCCCGGCTCCCAGGCTCCCTGGCTCCCCGGCCAGTCCTGGGGTCTGAGGAAGGAGCCGGGAGGCCTGTGTCATGTTGAACACAGCCCTGGAGAAGGATGGCCAGGTGTGACCACTGTGTCGTCCGTCAGCTGTGTGACCTTGGGCCAGTCACTTAACCTCTCAGTGCCCGTTCCCTCCCCTGTTAGACAAGGACCACACCGGACTGTGCCCAGAGTGGGGCGGGTTAGGTAAGAGTCTGTGTATGACCTTTGGCCTCCCATGTGCTCCGAGTCTGGGCCCTACAGTATCCCCTCGGGACCTCACGGCTCTTCCCGCCTTGGTTCCTCCCTTTCCCTCACCTTCACTCCAGTCTCACTTCTCCAAGGAGGCTCACCATAACCATCTTATGTTAATTCTTTTTTGGTATTGATTTCAGAGAGGAAGAGAGAGTGGGGGAGAGAGAGAGAGAAACATCAATGATGAGAGAAAATCATTGATCAGCTGCCTCCTGCATGCCCCACACTTGGGATGGAGTCCACAACCCAGGCATGTGCCCTTGACTGGAATCGAACCCGGGACCCTTCAGTCCACAGGCCGACGCTCTGTCCACTGAGCCACACCGCCTAGGGCCTCCCCATAACCATTCTACGGACTGGTGCCACCTGCCTCTGCCCACCCACGCACCAGTCCCAGGCTTCCTTACCCAGCCCTCACTGCTGTCTAACACGCTACGTGTGTAACAATAGGGGGGAAAAATAAAACAGGTTATCTGCCCCTGGGTCCCGACACAGGGCTCCCCACGAGTGTAATTTCCTGATGGTAAGAGGGTCTTCTAATGAGGAGACTCTGGGTGCTCCCGGGTGAGGGCTGTCCCCCCCCGAAAGACCAGCCACGATTGAAAGCTTGGCATTTCCAGCACCCCCTTCTCCGGAGAGCAGGGAGGGGCTGGAAGCAGTTAGTGATCGGTCACACCTGTGTGATCCCTAAACTGTGGGGTTCAGAGAGCTCCTGGATGAGTGAACACTTCGATGCACTGGAGGCTGAGGCACCCCAGCTCCCTGGGGACGGAGGCTCCTGTGCCCTGAACCCTCCCAGGCCTCGCCCTGCGCACCTGCTCCCCTGTGTCCTCTGTCAGAGCCTCTGTCACAAACTGCCACATGGAAGGCACTATTTCCCAGAATTCTGCGAGCCATTCCAGCGAATTGTGGGCCCCAGGGAGGGGGTCGTGGGAACCTCTGACTGGCCACGTGGGACAGAAGTCGTGGATGACCCCTAACCTGGCGGCCTGCCACTGGTCCAGGTAGCGAGTGTGAGAACAGGGTGACACAGCAGGACACCCCTCTCCCTGGACACACGCGTGCTCACATCGCGCGCACGCACACACACAGGACGGAGGTCAGAACCTCGGGAGCACCACAGCTCAGCTCACAGTGTGGAGAAAGACAGCTTTTTCCCCAAACGCCATGTAATTTGCTGACTTACTGTGTCTGCTGCCCGGTGCCAGAGTGAATACAGCTCTCTCTACCACGTCTTCACGGAGCCGTCCCCGTCCCCGTCCAGGGGAAACTTGTGGCCTCTCCTGTCCTCTCCGGACACTGCGAGCTGACCTCTGGTGCTCCCGGTGTTCCCACCTGTCCTGTGCATGTGTGCGCGCCTGTGAGCATGTGTGTCCAGGGCGAGGGCCTCTGGGCTCTCCCATTGAGACTCCAGGACAGCCCAGAAGGCCGGCCAGCCTCCTGACCTCTCTTCTCCCGCAGCCCCACCTGCCCTGCGCGCTGCCCCTCCCCAGACTTGGACTCTCCGTGAGGAGGAAAGGATGCCAGCCACACGGGTGAAGCCCAAGCCCAGGGTAAGCAGCCATTGCTCCTCCTTCTGGAGTGTTCCGTCTTGTAAGACCCGGAATGTGTGCTTTCCCTCCGTGACCGTCCTGCCGCATGGGGACCCAGCCCAGACCTGGTCCCCGGGTCCCTGCCATCACCACAGAGGGGGGAGCCTGAGGAGGGCCCCCGCCTTTGTTTCAGAGTGCACTGATTGCTCCATTCCTTCAGCACCTCCGGGTTCCTGCCGGGGGCGAGAAACACCCTCCCCAGGGGGAAGAGACAGCCACTCCACCCCACCCCCCCCAGAACCTGCTGAGGCGGGGCGGGGGGCGGGGGGCGGACCCCATGTTGTGCTCCAGAGCTAACCTAACGGCACCTTGTCTCTACTTTCACAACCCATTTTACAAGGGGGATTCCTCTCCGACTTTGACTCCCAAACTGCTCAGGCCGCGTGCGTGGGCGGCGGGCTGTGAGGTGGTAAGGCCAGGCCTGGAGGTGGCAGTGCCATCCCCCTGGGACCAGCTGGCTTCGCCTCTGAAGTGATTGTGCAGTGACTTCTCCCTCAGCCTCTCCCCGGCGGTTTCTCATTACCAGCAGCTCCGCCCTCTGAGCTGTGCGTTGGTTCCCTGGGGCTGCATACGTCACCACTAACTTGCCAGCAGGATCTGTTATCGCCCGTTCCTACCTGGGAGGTTCCTGCCTGGGAGCTGGGCTCGGCCTGGCCTGTGTCGCTGGGCCTCTGCTTTGGGTCTCCCACGCTGCAATCCGGGTGTCGGCTGGCTGGGGCCTCACCTTCTCCCGCTCCTTCTGCTTTCCACGTGGCCCTTCTTCCATCTTTGAACCAGCAGCCGCAGGCCCAACCCAGCTCCTGCCTGGGTCTCCTGGCTCCCTGCCCGCCTCGCCTGTGATGGGCGCAGAGGAACCGCCTCTCGGGGCCTGTGAGTCCAGTGGCCGCCTGGGCAGCCCTGCGTCCCCCTGCTCAGGCCACTGAAGAGGGAGACCGTGGTGACATATGCAGAGACCCTGCTGCTGAGTGGGATGTACTCACAGCCCTTCAGGGAGCAAGTAGTGGGCCAGGAGCCGAGTCAGGCTGCCTGCTCCTCCAGGCAGGGTCTGTGAGAGCGTCACTCAGGCACCTCCCCTCCCTCCCCTCGTCTGTCAGTGCTGCGATCCTCCTGGCAGTGCCGGGTCACATCTACCGTGAGCGCTAAGTAGGCCAGGACGTACGGGTAGGAGCCCAGGAAGATGCCTAGACTCGGTGCCCAGAAGTTCAAGTTAACATGCCTTCTGTGCAGGTCTTTTTTTCTCTTCATATATTTGTATTAACTTCAGAGATGGAGGAAGGGAGGGAAAGAAAGAGAGAGAGAGAGAGAGACATCAATGACGAAAGAGAATCATGGATCACCTGCCTCCTGCACGCCCCCTCCCGGGATGGAGCCTGCATTCTGGGCATGTGCCCTGACTGGAATCAAACCATGACCTCCTAGTTCATAGGTCAACACTCAACCGCTGATCCACGTAGGCCAGGCACACAGTCTTTTTTATTTTTAAAATATATTTTATTGATTTTTTACGGAGAGGAAGGGAGAGGGATAGAGAGTAAGAAACATCAATGAGCGAGAAACATAGTTGAGCTGCCCCCTGCTCACCCCCTACTGGGGATGTGCCCACAACCAAGGTACATGCCCTTGACCGGAATCGAACCTGGGACCCTCCAGTCCGCAGGCTGACGCTCTATCCACTGAGCCACACCGGTCAGGGAAGGCACGGTCTTTAACATCAGGCCACACTGTGTCGTCTTGTGTGAATACTCCTGCCCCTTTGGGCTCCGATCTCCAGATGTCCCGCGTAGGTTCCTGGCCCCTGCATCTCCCGTTTGGGACAGGCCTGCTGTCTGCTCCAGGCCTGTGGACACACGAGCCCACGGTGACCGTTGTGGGATTTTCTGTTGCAGGTGGTGACGTTCGGGGACCTGGCCATCTACTTCTCCCAGGAGGAGTGGGAGGGACTGAGCCCCCAGCAGAGAGGTCTGTACAAGGGCGTCATGTTGGAGAACTACCAGACCCTGGTCTCTCTCGGTGAGCCCCCGCCCGCTGGCCCTGAGGGACGGGAACCTGGCAGTCAGTCAGGGAAACAAGCCACCGCAGTTAGGGTTGGCTTTCTTTTAGCAGCTTTATGGAGATACAACTCGCACACTGTACATCCTCCCTTAGGAGGGTACGCTCAGGGTCTCTGTTCTACCGACAGGTGTGCGTCCATTGGCACAGTCCATCTAGGACACCTTCACCCCAGGAGAAACCAGGCCCTTCGCACTCACTGTCCCTGTCCCCACCCACGCCCACTGAGCCCCCGCTTGGCAAACACTAGTCCCTCTCTGGCCCTAGAACTTGCCAGTTCCTGCCTTTCATGGACACGGAGTCACACAGGACGTGGTCCTTGGTGTCTCCTTCTTCCACGGGGCACCGTGTTCTCAAGGTTCATCCAAGCTGCAGTGGGTGACAGTTTCACAGAAAAACCGGACGAGAACCAAGCAACGCTCTGAGAGTTTGGAGTTAGACTTTATTCACCACGGCAGGCCTAGGGAAATGAATCCAAATTCTAAGCAAAGCTACAAGGAGAACTTCCCTTTTTATGGAAGAGCCAGCCCTTTGTGTGCTTGCTGGCGGCCTTTAAAACTACACAGTTCTATCCGATTAAAAAATGCACCTGGCATGGCATTGGGTGTATCTAGTCTCTGGCCTACAAGGTCAGACAGCTTAGCTTATCTCCCCCATTAGTCAGGCAGGCTAGAAAGCAAAGTTATCTTTTCAGAATTAGAGGCCGTCCAAAGAATAACAGAGAATTCCGAACAGTAGTTTTGCAGGATAGGGGTTTGCCTTCACAACAGTACACCCGCAGCTCGGTCCTCTTCACGGCCCACTAACAGCCCATTGTACAGGCCACATTCGTGAATCCATGACGGGCACGTGTACTGTTTCCACTCTATAGCTCTTACGAATATGCCGCTTGACCTTTGTGTCTGAGTTTTTGTGGGGATGCATATACCTGTGAGCGGAATTGCTGCTCAGATAGTCGCTGTGTATGTAACCTTTTGAGGACCTCGCTTGTGTTGAGAGAGAGAGAGAGGTCAGGAAGTCTAAAGGAGCACAATGGGCATGGGTGACACAGAGATGGCACTGCAGATGCAGCCACCACCCAGGGCACGGGGGGCGGGGGGGGGAGGCTGGGCTCTCAGGGCTGAGGGGTGCACTGCCTGGCATTGTACTCCTGAAAGGTCAAGAGAGGGCCAGCTTTGGGAGTGGATGGGGAAAAAGGAAATTGAAACTACGGAGACCCTGCTGGTAGACACACTCGGGGAGCGGCTGGCAGAGGAGGGGTGTGGAGTACGGAGCAGACAAGGATGGGTCTTGAGCCAACAGGCAGCAGCTTAATGACCATCCTCGAGCTCCTCCTCCAACTTTCCAGGAAACCCGTTGGCTCTGTAGTTAGGAAGAACGGCCGGGGGTGCCTGAGCCTGCACCTCCGCGTTCTCCAGCGGCCCTCTGCCCCCTCCACGCTCCCTTTGTGCCCGCGAATCCCCTCCCATTGGCACAGGGCTGGGCCCCGGTGCCGTGGTGCCCACGCCCTGCTCCATCCCCTGTTTTCCTGTGTGCAGGACTGTGCGGTCGGAAGCCAAGTATGATCGCCTTGTTGGAGAAAGGACAAGCGCCCTGGATGGAGAGATTCGTGAGACTGCCCTGTGGCCTGGGTGAGTGACAGCCAGCGCCTGGGACTGTGTACGGGCACATTCCATAGTGGGAGGGCCCCTCCCCCACCTCGTGGCCCCAGGATGACCGTCCCCCACAGGGAGAAGAGTGCCATTTCATAGGCCCTTCCTGGGTGCAGGCACTTCCCACGGCAGGCTCTCCCGGCAGTGCTGTGAGGCAGGCACTGTTACTCCTGTGTTAGGGATGAGAACACAGACCCAGCTAGGGAGTGGCTGAGGGCTGGGTGTGAGCCCCAGCCTTTAGTCTCAGAAGCTCGGGTCTTCACAGCCTTGTCCCTGCCTCGGCACTCACACTTCCCTCAGAGAACGCGTATTCCCACTGATTTAATGCTAGCACTCCAGCGATGATGTTCCAGCTGCAGCATTTTCCTCAGTCCTTCCAAAACTTAAAGATCTTTTCCATACTGTTCATTTTGCCTGCTTGGTAAGAACTCAGTCCCTTATCTAGTAGATTCCTCTTTGGTTGATCAAGTTGTGTGGGATTTTTTTTTTTTTTTACACTTCTCTGAGGCTTTTGCGTTGTGGTAAAAAGTATCCTGTGTGATAAAGAGGTCACGTGCTAATGGTTGTCACGCCCTCACGTCGTAACTGCCGGTCACCAGGAGACTGCAAGAACAGACGCGTTCATGGCGGAGCTGCTTGCCCGCCGTGGAGGGAGGTCCCGCGGCAGAACACGGCTGAAGAGCAATGTATCTCTGAAGCTGAAAGAAGGCGGCGTCGGCGACAGAATTTATCTGAAGAGCAGCTATTGGCACGACGTAGATCTCAAGCCGAAAGAAGCCGGCGTTACCGACAGAAAATGTCTGCAGAGCGCCGTGCCTATGAAACTGAAAGGAGGCGGCTTCGGCGACAGAATTTTTCTGAAGAGCAGCTGTTGGCGTACCGCAAATACGAAGCCGAGAAAGTACGGCGCTATCGGCAGAACATGTCTGCAGAGCGACGCGCCTCTGAAGTTGAGAAAAGGCGGCTTCGGCGACAGAGAGCATCTCACGAGGAACTGTTGGCAGAATGTACCTCGTTAAACGTGAGGCTGACCGTGCAGTCATTTCTCAAAAAAATGAGCAGTTTTAAAAATTAAATGAAGACATTTTGGATGTATTCAATGGAGATTTTCACACATATTTGAGTGAAGATTCCATTGATTCAACAGGTGGTACTGAAAAGGAAAATTTTCCCATTGAATTTCTTACTAGTATTACTCATTCCGGAATGCCGTGTCATAAATTAAAATTGACAGCATTACAATCATCATGCTACTGAGAAATCTTAATAGTAAATAGGTCTTTGTAACGGTCCTCAATTTATTAAAAGATTGCGACCTAACATAATCAAAGCAGAAGTAATAACAGAATCTGCAGAGGGGGAGGTTGCTCTGAGGTTGATGTGATTTGTGCCCATCTGACACTGGCCTCCCATTTAAATTGATTCAAAGACAGTTTCCTGTGATTGCCAGCATTTGGGATGACTATTAAGGACAAACTCTAGACAGAGGAGAAATATTCCTACCTGAACTCGTTTTCGGACATGGTCTGTTATATGTTGCTTTCTCTCGAGTTCAAAGAGGGTGTGATGTTAAATTAAAGTTCTAAATACTTCAGCACAAGGGAAATTAGTCACATACTCTGAAAGTGCTTTCACTCTTAATGTGGTGTACAGGGAGATAGTGGAATAAGTTTAATCATTTTATAACTTGTTTGTATCGGGGTTATTTTTCTATCACGTTTTTGTTGTTTTTAGATAATGTTTTTTCATATCGTTATTGTTTTTATATCATGTCTTGTACTATCATGTTATTTATTAATAAACATACATTATTTCATACACATTTTACTAATTTTCTTTCATCTCTAACACTTCCATTATAGAGAAAGGGCAAATACCAATATTAAAATATTTCCTCTAATTAATTCCCTTTTAATGTGCACGATTTCATTCACCAGGCCACTAGTGACATTAAATATACTATCCTAACCATTTTTAAATGTGCACTTGAGTATATTCACATTGTCATGCAGCAGATCTCTAGAATGTTGTATCTTGCAACACTGAAACACTGCCTTCTAAGTTGTTTTTTTTAACAGATCTCATATCTATTTCATTTCTTTTTTTTTTCTTTTTTTTAATATATTTTATTGATTTTTTACAGAGAGGAAGGGAGAGGGACAGAGAGCTAGAAACATCGATGAGAGAGAAACATCAATCAGCTGCCTCCTGCACATCTCCCACTGGGGATGTGCCGGCAACCAAGGTACATGCCCTTGGCCAGAATCGAACCCGGGACCCTTGAGTCTGCAGGCTAATGCTCTATCCACTGAGCCAAACCGCCAGGGCTGCCCTATAAGTTCTGGTCCTCCTCAGCCCCTGGCAGCCACCTTCCTGCTCCATCTCTGCAATTGGGATGATTGTAGCTATTTCATAGGAATGGAATCACACAGTATTTGACCTTTCTGACTGGCTTTTTTTACTTAGCTGGATAGCCTTGAGGTTCATCCACATTGTAGCCAGAATTTCCTTCTCTTTTTTAAAAAAACATATTTTATTGATTTTTTACAGAGGAAGGGAGAGGGATAGAGAGTTAGAAACATCACTGAGCCTGCCTCCTGCACACCTCCCACGGGGGATGTGTCTGCAACCAAGGCACATGCCCCGGACCAGAATCGAACCTGGGACCCTTGAGTCCGCAGGCCGACAGACTCTATCCACTGAGCCAAACCAGCTAGGATGAGAATTTCCTTCTTTTTAAGGGCATAATATTCCATTGTATGTATACAAATTCGGCCTTCCATATCCGTTCCACATTTGTGAATATAACCAACTGTGGATTGAAAACATTT